CACGCAAGTGGATTCTCAACACCCTACCTTTATTCTGGAAGAGCAGAATGACGAAAACATTCTTGCTTGGCTGAAGCAACATCATAAGCTGAAGGACCAGAACGTAGTAGAAGCACCTAAAGATGCAAAGCGACATGGGATCGCGCACCATAAGCTGGCAACTTTAGTTGACAGAGTATATCAGTCATGTACAGACTGTGATTTCAATCAGATCAAGCGCTATGGTTTCGCACCGCTTAAGAGTGTGACTGAAGATGTTCCATGGCGCAGGGTCATCATTGATCTGGTTGACCTGCCCACGTCCGAGCACACAGGCGACCGATACGTATGCCACTTCTTTGATGTGGCGTCACGGTTTAACTTGCTATATCCATTAAAGGATAAGAATACGCAGACCGTGGCAGAATTATGTTGCCAAGCCTTTGCTGACCACGGGTGGCCGGGTATTATGCGCACTGCTAACGGTAGTGAGTTCTGCGATGACGTTATAGAATCGCTAGTACTCGTATCAGGCATATGCCATAAGAGAGGTGTGCCATATAAGCCGCAAACGCAAGGCGTGAATGAAACGCGCCATAGAAGACTCAAGTTCTTCTTGCGTACTACATTAACGAATGATGCAGATGATTGGCCGTACCACCTTAAGTGGGTACAAACACAGATGAACGAGTGTGCTGATCCGGTTACAGGAACTACACCCGCTCACTATTTTCATGGTAGATATAGTGAGTTACAAATCCCCTTTAACAAGGACGAACCTGATCACCATGAGTTACCATGGTTAGAGAAGGTACAACGTATTTATAACGTTGTATATCCTTGCTTGCGAGAAATACGCAATACAGCCCTATTAAAAAGGCAAAAGCGTTGGAACACTACCAAGAAGATAGCAGAGTATCAGGTTGGTGACAGAGTTAACATCCGTCAACGTAATTACGATGCTACTGTATTAACATCTAAATGGATAGGTCCATATGTTATCTCTGTAGCAGACACTAAAAGTGGAACGTACGAGGTAAATAACCCCGATGGTTCTAGTGCGCTTAATATAGGCACAAGTCGTATTCCGACTACAGAAATTATACTCGTAAGAAGACATGATTCTAATGCCCCTCTTGATCGTTCTGAATTTAAAGACAGTATATGGAGGCTATACATACAATTGTACACGCTTTATAGATGGTACAATAGCTGAGTCGACTTCAGATGCTTTCGATAATCAAGACTATTTAAAAGCCTTTAATCGAAAATGGCGTTAACACCTGCATAAGTCACAAGCTGAAAAGGATAGCATGTGTCCATCGTCTGAAAGAATGGAAGTTAAAACTTATCCGCCTACAGCATTTGTCCCGAGCCTTAATGCTCATCCTTAATATGTGCTTAAGACACTGAAGCGTAAGAAACGTCCAGTCGACCACCACGAACCTACTGGACCTAAGCCCAAAACTCACAGGGTATCCGAGAACGCTTAACTTCTCCGCCTGAGAAACGTTAACTATATGTTATGCTACTTAATATTTTCGACGCGTTTTTCCTTTCTCGCTTTTTAGCCCATAATCAGCTTGAGTGAGCAACTTGCTTCTCATGGGGTTCAAAAGCTGGGTGGGGGCTGTGTAATAAACCGGGCCTCCACATTAGACTCTCTGTTATAAACGTACTCTTAAGCAGTACGTAAATTATAAACGTACTCTTAATAGTACGAGGAACTTAAGTTTCCTAAGTGTACTCTTAATAGTACGAGAAACTTAAGTTTCCTAAATGTACTTTCAATAGTACGAGGAACTTAAGTTTCCTAAAATGGGTTTTAATGGTTTTATTAATTAATACCTTTTCCATTTTACATGTCAGATATTTGGACGAGGCCAGTAAAAGGCCTCAGTAAAGTACCAAACATAAAGAGTTGGACCAGTTCTATTAATAGAACTTTATTTACTTTCCAACTTTATTTATATCTGAATACTTCGGTAGCGAGATGGCTCAATCGAACATAGGTTTCTAAGGACTATTAGCGTTGCTTAGTTTATCCTCCGTTCAGCCAACCAGATATGCCAGTCGGATGAATGCTAAGTCGGTAATTCTTGATAGATGGCAAGTTATTGGTTAATGCAATAACTATGGACATCAAGAGTTTTTTTCTTCTTCTTTCTTTTTTCTTCTTCTAAAGATAGGATTTTATGAGTCTCTCGGATTCGCCCCAACGAAACGTACCATAGTTTCTATTAGAGCGACAACGTAACACTAAATAAATCCCTTCGGCGAAAACAGCACTAAGAGGATTATATAAAGGCAATGTCTCAGCCTCCCAATCCCTCAGAGTATTGCTGTTTTCACGAGGCATATCTAACTTTACTAAAAGTCTCATTTCGTTTATTTACTTTAAATTTTGATATACTTAGAATTAACCCTTGCGTTTATTTACTCGAAGCCGTTAATATCGTCTTAATAGACCGAAACTTACAAAACCACTTAGACTACTTAAACGTAAAGGTAGATAACTACCACGAAATTGTTCCTAAGCACAGCTATTCCTTAGGAGAATAAGACTGAAGTCATAAGTTAAGATTATGACAAAGAAAGACAATGCGCCTGCAAAAAAAAACGCAAGGCCGAACGTAAAAAGATGGAGAGAAAGCCGCTAGCGCTGCAGCAGCTAACGCTGCCGATGCGTTTAACCGCACCGTAGCCGAAGCACTTGTTTCCGACAATAATAGTCAGAACAATGCCTCGAATAAGGATGTAGCCACTCTGATTAAGGAAACTACTCCTACAGATAGAGCCCGAGGGCCAACTATTGCCTCAACTTCGAAGCTTGCATTTACGAAGCCAAGAAGTGAGACAAGGGACACGTCTCAAGATGCCCCAACCAATTCTTCTAACGAATCTCAGAAAGGAAATTCCCCAATTAGAGGAGACAAAGACGAATCTCGGAAGGTACCTATACCGGAACCAAAAAAGGAGGCAAGCTCAAGTGGCAAATCCAAATCTACGTCCGAGACCACTGAATCAACGTGCATAAGTAAGTTAACAACTGAAAACACTGATCTTAACAATCAGTTCGCCGCCCTTATGAAAAGCATGACTGTTGAACATGTAGATCGAAGGTATGGAACAGGAAAACACGCACAGCACTTACGCGAGCATGTTTCTCCGGGCACTACTGAAGCCTTACAGAAGTGGATAGAACGTCGGCTGGCAATTACGACCGAAAAGCGCGAGGACCTGAGCGCCACACCTGTGGCAGTTGAACCAGATGTGCTCAGCGTATCTATACCTTACGAGGTACTACCACCAGAACTCCAGGCTAGTTATTCGTCTGTTCTAACACCCGGCCATGAGTCGTCCGTCCTTGAGGGTAATACAAACCCGGAGGCAGGTAAAAATACTCCACCACCTTTACCCAACTGGGATGAGGGAGTACCTTCATTTTGACATTAAAAACCCCCATTGTTTGTGTCCAAACACCGAATCGCCTTATTTTTGTGTCAAAATGTAAATTGCCTTTTTTTGTGTCAATTCTCAAACTGCCTTTTTTTAATTATTTTTTCGTTGACTTTAAAAAAAAAAAGGGGGGGGGGGGGGG